AACTCCACGTAATCCCAAGGGGTTCACATACTTTTTCTTGCAACTGTATATATATATATATATACTGTACAGTGCTCAGCATACACCCTTTTGAAAAGTAATATTTGAATCAATATCTCAATGAACAGAAGAACAATTTCCAAAATTTTGACAAAACTGAGTTTTATGGAACACTTGTTTAGCTCATTACATGAAAGTAAGGTAATAATATAACTTAGATTACAAAATCTTCAGTTTTACTCAAATTAGTTGATGCAAAAATGAATCCACCCCACAACAAAAACTATATATATATATATTTTTTATGCAAAAGGCCAGCATAAAGTATATTTTTCCATTTTGGATATGGTAGGGAATGGTTAAAACCCATGCTAGGTTTTTTTTCAATGCTAGTTCTTTTGACAGGTCTAAATTTTACATTTTCCTTAATTTTCAGGTCCCAGTGACATTGGTCACCGGGACAAAAAACAAAGTGATTTCTCTAGCAAGAACACAGACAGCAAGAAATATATAAAAAGGGGTTTGAATAATTCCATACTCTACCATGAACTAAAAAATACAAGTTTTCCCTTTTAATATACTTTAAAGTGTATCTAAGCATCTGAAAGCAGTCTCTAATGACATAAGCATCCATAATCTTCCTTGTAGCCACAGACCATGTGATCTTTACACCCCGGTCACATCAAGTCCGACTTTGAAATCGTGTGACTTACAGTGAAGTTGCATGATTTCAAAGTTGGGTGAGATGTCGATTTCAGGTGCAATCGGCAAGACATATAACACAGATGTCTATGCAAATCGCATCAAAAGTAGTGCATGCACTACTTTAGAAATCGGTGCGGCTCCGACCAAGTCGGAACCGCACAGAATTGATCGCTCTAATTGCGGACAATAGGGTGCAACTTGGCACACAATTTTCAAGTCGCATGGCATGCAAATTGCATGCCAAGTCATACCCGATGTTACCGGGATGCAGGGGCGGACTGACAACTCATGGGGCCCCCGGGCAATAGGGGATCATGGGGCCCCTGTGTCCTTGCCCAAACTCAAAAAAGCCTATGAAAAAGGTACCAGGGGCATCTCATGGGGCCCCCTACTGACCTCAGGCCCTCAGGCAGTGCCCGAGTTTCCAAATGGTCAGTCCGCCCCTGCCGGGGTGTTACTCACACTGTATTTTTGGCAAGCATTAGGCATTTTTTTTTACCCAAAATAATGCTTAGGTTATGCTTCGCACACCCTATATGTGTCCAGAGTGATCCATTTAACCTCCCTAGAGGTCTGATTATTTCAGATTTTTGGTGCTGAAAGCGGTACCATTTTTTTGCATGGAAATATGTAGTTTTTTTATTGTAGGCCTGTAATTTTTAGGAATAACTCACTGAAATCTGTCCGAACAAGAGTCTAGTAAACATCCCGGGTATGATAAAACTTGAAACATGAAATCATAAATTATAATTTAATAAATAATCATAAAAATAATATTATAATAATAATAAATTTAATTCAATAATATAATCAAACCAAAAACACTGACATTTGAAATATAGCGCCAAGTTCGCACATCACTGAGCAAAGTCGCAAAATCGTTTTCAGTGTCTGATGATGAATTTCCCCCACGAATCATTATCACTCAATTCTGCAAGTGGTTCTGATTTACTATCGCTGTTCTCTAGCCGGTCTAAAACCGATTTTGACCTAAAGGGACGCTTTTTGGACTCCATGGATGTTTCTCAGTTTCCAGGCAGAAAGAACAGTCAAAATGCAGGCAGGGCGCAGGACAAAGCACTCGGGACAAAATGTATGTGAAATGCTTTGAAACAGCAATGTTTTACTATGTAATATTCGTTTACAAAAAAATGACAGTTTTTAACATTTTTAAATTTGCCGCCGGTTCCAGCCCTTCTATGTCCCGACGTCACAGGGACCGGAACACGGACGCCGGATGCCGGCATCGGCCAGAGGAGATGGCCAGGGACACTGCAGGAGGGACATCGTGGGAGTGAAGGACAAGGTAAGCGCTGCAGGGAATCCCTGAACTACGCCACATGGTAAGCCCGAGAGTAGCTTGGGGTTACCGCGTTTTGGTACTGAAACACTACCCCGAGCTACACTCAGGAATACCTCCAAGGAGGTTAAAAAAGAACTATAAGCAAAACGTTTTTTTTTTTCTTTTTTTTTTCATTTTGGATAAAGGAGGGTTATAACCCCTGTCAGTTTTTTTTTTGCGCCATTTGTGTCACATTGGGAAGATTTCTCTTCACTTTCTCTTCGACAGCCAAGACAGAAAGTCCCTGAAAATTAAGGGAATTCCTTAGGGACCCCCAAGTCACTAGAACTAGTGTCCCCATTGGAAGATTTCCCATCTACTACTTTTCTGGGGACAACTCAAAATTTGGGCTTTTTCTTTACTTTCACTTTTGATGATAACAGTAAACAGGGCAAATAGAGAGGGTGAATCTCTTTAATGGGGACACAGACAGCAAAAAAAAAATTGGCAGGTGTTCTAATCTATGTCCACTCTATCCAAAACTAAAAAAGGATTTGTCTTTAGTTATCCTTTAAGTCCTCATGCACACATTTGACATTTTTTTCTACAGCTAGTAAACCCCCAGCATGTTATCCTATGTGTCCATGCGCACATAGACTGGAATCAATGTTTTTTGGCTGGGACGTTTTTTGGCTGAAAAAACCCCCCAAAACTAGTGGGTTTCTAGAGGAGTTTTTTAGCTGTAAAAAACGCTGTAATGCTGAAAAACGTGGCAAAACGTGGTAAAAAGTGGTAAAATGCACCAAACCATAGTTTTTGGACTTTTTTTGACCAAAAAATTGTTTTTTTGTAAAAAAAAATGCTAAAAAACGCAAACACGAGAAAACGCCAGTAATCGCGGCAAAACGCTGCTAAACGCTAGTGCGAAAACGCTAATGCAAAACCGCTAGTAGCATTTAGCTGTGTTTTTTTTGCGTTTTTTCGCATTTGAAGTTTTTGGCGTGTTTTAGGTTTTTTTGACCCCCCCCCCCCAAATTTTTTTGGGAGGTCAACAAAAGTAAAAAAATGCTGTTTTCCATGATTTACTGCATTTTACCGCACCTTTCAGTGTTAGAGTATTTTTACATCCACTAGTCTTGGGCTTTTTTTCCACCCAAAAAACACCCCTGCCAAAAAAACGTTGAGTACAGTCTGTGTGTGCATGGACACCTAGGATAACATGCTGGGGGGTTTACTGGCTGTAGAAAAAAACCTCAAAAGCCAAAAACAGCCGCTGTAAAAACGACCCGTGTGCACATGAGGACTTATGCAGTCTCTGGAGATCAGAAACTGCTAGAAGGTGGCAGTCCCAGTCATAAGCAGGGTCGGACTGACCATTTGGAAACTCGGGCACTGCCCGAGGGCCCGGGGTCAGTAGGGGGCCCCATGAGATGCCCATGGTACCTTTTTTATAGGCTTTTTTGAGTTTGGGCAAGGACACAGGGGCCCCATGATCCCCTATTGCCCGGGGGCCCCATGAGTTGTCAGTCCGCCCCTGGTCATAAGCACCCATAATCTAATTCTCTAAAAGTAAAATGAACATCTACTGGAAACTCTAATGCCTTCCTTGTTCTCAATACTTGTCTACAGTAATAGTCTCTCTGCTCTGTATGAAAACATACACAGTGACTCCCAGCCTCTTGCAGTTTGTGAACTATCGTGACTGCATGAGTGCAGTGCAGCTTAAAAAAGGTTCCTGCCATTGAACACATTACCCCTTCCTGCTGATGCCTCCCAGCCATTTAATAGCTTCTAGATGCTGGGAGGTGGGCAATCAGGTCATGTGACTGCTGTGATTGGCTGTAATAACAGTCACATGATTGGAAAACTCCCGATTACAAGTATGGACTATGCTGGGAGTGTGCAGGAAGCGTGCTCTCAGCTCTGTAAGTTTTTATTCAGGGCAACATACATGCAGCCACGTTAAGACCTACCCACTGAGAGGCCACATATATGCGTACGGCCAGCGAGAAAGGGGTTAAACATGTGAAGCAGATGACTTGAAGGCCTAAGACCCCATTGTTAGGCTCCATGCACACTAGCATTTTTTTTAAGCTCCTAGAAGCCATTATCAGCATATTGTTTTCTGTTCCTAGAAGCTAAATAGTTTTAGCCTACGTGTCCATGCATGCTATTTTAGGCTATTAGCATTTTTTGAGCTTCAGCATCTAGGAGCAGAAAAAAAGTTGTTTTGGTAGAGCTTTTTGGAGCGTTTTTCCAACGCAAAAAAACCTGCTAAACACTCTAAAACGCTCCTAACAGAGCGGGGCTGATGAGCAAGCATACATGAGTGCCCCCAGAGCAATTATCTTGGGCAAGGGCTGGACCCAAAAAGAGGAGAACCAGGGCTGCTCTGTACAAAACCATTGCACAGAGCAGGGAAGTATGACATATTTGTTGTTCAAAACAAAAACTGAGCCTTTAGTGTTACTTTAAGTACCCCCGTGTGAATGAGGCCTAAATATTCACACACCCTAAGCTACTTGGATACACATAAGATGCTATGAAAATAAATACAGGGAAAGGATTAAAAAATAATACAGCATAAAAACCTCAAACTACAGTCTCTGGTAGTGATACATGGAAAACTTAGACTTGGGATCAGTGGTAATTCAACTTTTGGAAATTGTTCTTAAAGGTAATGAAGTTGGAATTATCAATGAAGGATAAATGGCAAAAAAGAAACAGTGAAAAACATTCCCAAATATTTAAAGAGTAAAGTTGGGCCTACATGTCCTAGACCACGGGTGTCAAACTGGCAGCCCTCCAGCTGTTGCCAAACTACAAGTCCCATGAGGCATTGCAAAATTGACCGTTACAAGCATGACTTCCAAATGTAGAGGCATGATGGGACTCGTAGTTTCGCAACAGCTGGAGGGCCGTCAGTTTGACATCCCTGGTCTAGACCTTATTTTAAGCCATGAATGAAATAACACAATACAATAAAATTACATTTACATTTTCAAGAGATAAATTAGACACTTACAGAGCTGGCTTCTAGGATGTCTCTCCAGATGGGAACTTCTTCTGTTGGATTTGAGAAATCCAGCAAATTGTCTATCACCACCTGACCAATGAGGTCATGCCGGGAGAATCGGTCAAAGTCATAAATGCTGAAGTGCAATTTGCGGTTTTGAAGCTCATTAAAGGGCACATTAAAATGGAATGTTTCATTAAAGATTGGGTTAAGAGTCTTGCGGTGAACTTTAGTCTGGAACTTTTTCTTGCGGTCTGGAAGAAGGTACATCTTCACATAAGGATCTGAGAATCCATTGGCATCCTTTGCCGGTAGGTCTAGAGCCTTCAGTATCTTTACCACCAGCTGTTCTGTATTATAGGCATATCGAAGGATAAAACTGATACGCCCACAGCTTGTGGCTTCCTGTTTCTTCATCTCGGCATCTGCTGAACGCTGTTTATATAACTCCGGCTTTATCTGCCCAATACTGGTGGCCTGCTCTGGTTTCTCATCCACGTGACCTGAAAAATCAGGACTGGACAACTGCTGTGTCATGGGTCTGGGTAACGTGCTGTATCTGCAAAGCAGAAGAACAATATTAATTTCATTTTGTCAAGTTACGTTTTCCTTTGCTTAAAGATGAATATGTAATTATTGGGAACCGGCACCTAGAGGAACCTACACATACCAGTTTTTATTTTCCTAAGAACCCTGAGAGCCGTAAACAGTCTTGAGCTCCAAGCACCAAAAACTCAAGGTTTAGTGAACCATATAAAGAAAACATTCATAATTTAACGGTATTGACCGCCCAAAGTCACTTTCAAGCCTTGATCAGCATACAGGACAGCCTACTAGTGCAGGACTTCTGTTTTCAGTCCAGCCATTGCTGTAGTGCACCAAACCTCTAGAGTGTTGATTGTCATCTTGTTGCTGGTTACCTGGTATTCTGACAGCATCATCTCTCCTAGTGTTCTAGACCATATACACTCACCGGCCACTTTATTAGGTACACCCAGGGGCGGACTGACAACTCATGGGGCCCCCGGGCAATAGGGGATCATGGGGCCCCTGTGTCCTTGCCCACACTCAAAAAAGCCTATAAAAAAGGTACCAGGGGCATTTCATGGGGCCCCTACTGACCCCGGGCCCTTGGGCAGTGCCCGAGTGCTCGAATGGTCAGTCCGCCCCTGGGTACACCTGTTCAATTGCTTGGTAACACAAACTGCCAATCAGCCAATCACATGGCAGCAACTGAATGCATTTAGGCATGTAGACGTTGTGAAGACAACTTGCTGAAGTTCAAACTGAGTATCAGAATGGGGGAAGAAAGGGGATTTGAGTGATTTTGAACATGGCATGGTGCCAGACGGACTGGTCTGAGTATGTCAAAAACTGCTGATCTACTGGGATTTTCACGCACAACCATGTCTAGGGTTTACAGAGAATGGTCCGAAAAAGAGAGTGGGAAATATCCAGTGAGAGGTGTACAATGTAAAACTCTCAATGTAAAAAAAAAATGAGAAAATATCCAGTGAGTGGCAGTTGAGTGGACAAAAATGCCCTGTTGATGTCAGATGTCAGAGGCAGGGGCGGAATGACAACTCATGGGGCCCCCCGGGCAATGCGGGATCATGGGGCCCGTGTCCTTGCCCAAACTAAAAAAAGCCTATGAAAAAGGTACCAGGGGTATCGGCAGTTTCCAAAATGTCAGTCCACCCCTGGTCAGAGGGGAATGGGCAGACTGGTTGCTGCGACATTCAGTAGCATCAGAATTTGGTGTAAACAACATGAAAGCATGGATCCATCCTGCTTTGTATCAACAGTTCAGGTTGGTGGGTGTGTCATGGTGAGGTGGATCCATCCTGCCTTGTATCAACAGTTCAGGCTGGTGGTGGTGGTGTCATGGTGAGGTGGATCCATGCCTTGTATCAACAGTTCAGGCTGGTGGTGGTGGTGTCATTGTGGGGGAGATTTTCTTGGCACTAGCAAGATGTACCTAATAAAGTGGCCAGTGAGTGTATATTTCTAGTTCACAGAGAGTGAAGCTGACACTGTCTTCTCACCTTTTATTCCCACCTTATAGGGCCCGTTCACACCAGTTCATTGTGGTAACGGACAAACGTTTAACATACGGTATCACGTATTTAATGTGCATTGAGTTAAGCAGCCATTTATTATGAATGGGCTGCCAAAGCTCTGTTCACATTCCACTTACTCCATTACCATAGCATGTTTAACATTAAATATTTAACACAGAGTGAACCCAGGACATCCATGTCACATAGCAATAATTGTTGTCTAAAAGGAGAACTACGTTAACCGTTTAATTTAAGTGTATAGAACTGGTTTACCAAAGAATTTGAGAATTCACTTCAGTTACCCAATTATGTGAAAAGTATATGCACATCAAAATGAACAGGAATTTGTTTTAAAGTGTTACTAAACCCACAACAGTAAAATCAGTCTGTATATGCAGTAAAGCATGCTTGTTATACTCCCTGTGGAATCCTCGTCTTCTTCTACTGTCCCCAGTCCATCTGCTGATACAACAGAGCCTTGGGACAAGCTGCACATGCTCAATGTGGTGTGTATTGCTAGAGAGATCTTTTTTTTTCTTGGGAGAGTGCATGTGATCAGCACAGGAACAATCAGCACTAGCCAGTCAAGGGACCAGCAGCCTCATAGGACAATCAGGTGAGAATGAAAACTCCTTCTACAAGCTTTAACCAGTTCTCTGCTGGACACTGATAGAAGTTACAAGATTGCTATGTACTGCTGATGAGAAAAGGTATTTAGCAGTTTATATTTACTAAAATAATTGCATCTCCATGTTTTGTGTATTGTGGGAGACCAGATATAGTGAATGCAGGGTCCGGGCAGACCAGATATAGTGAATGCAGGGTCCAGGGAGACCGGATATAGTGAATTTAGGGTCCTAGGAGAACAGATATAGCAAATGCAGTGTCCTTGGAGACCAGATATAGTGAATGCAGGGTCCGGGGAGACCGGATATAGTGAATGCAGGGTCCGGGGGAGACCAGATATAGTGAATGCAGGGTCCGGGGAGACCGGATATAGTGAATGCAGGGTCCGTCCGGGAGACCAGATATAGTGAATGCAGGGTCCGGGGAGACCAGCTATAGTGAATTCAGGGTCCGGGGAAAACCGATATAGTGAATGCAGGGTCCGGGGAGACCAGATATAGTGAATGCAGGGTCCGGGGAAACCGGATATAGTGAATGCAAGGTTCTGGGAGACCAGATATAGTGAATGCAGGGTCGGTCCTGTGAAAAGCGAAGGGTACGGGTAGGGTGATACCTGGGAATCAGGTTGGTGAGGTAGTTAGGGGCAGTGTTGTGAATGGCTTTGTAGGTCAGAGTGAGTAGTTTGAATTTGATGCGTTGGGCGATAGGGAGCCAGTGGGGGATAGGCAGAGGGGGGTGGCAGATGTGGAGCGGTTGGTGAGGTGGATGAGTCTGGCCGCTGAATAATATTGAATATTATTACTAGTAATAAAATAAGAACAAAAAAAATCTATACAGTCCCATCCAGAAGCATCAAAAAACTAGGGCAAATGCTAAATTCATTGCCTATTTAGAAGTATGCCCATTGGCATATTCATTTATTCTCGCAGTAAAGGTTTTTAATTCAGTAATGATTTCACGGACAAGTTTAGATTAATGTAAATTTTTGCTGAATTTACAGAAGTCGCTCTTGTTTTAAACCCTTTGCTGTCAAGACCATTTTTTTTTTCTATTTTTCATATACTGTACATTATAAGCTTGAAAATTTACAAAGGAGAACAAACTATTTTTCCCAAAGCTAAGGACCTATTAAATGAAAATGAGGCTGTCTCAATTTGTGTGTTGCAATATATTTGTGAATGATTATGAAATCCTTTATTTTTAGTAAAAACCTTTTTTTTATTGACACACCAACACAATATATTCTCCAAATCGTCCATAAAAGATAAAAGTTAAAGCTGCTTCAAGTGAAAAAACAGCAAAAGGTATCTAGGCTTAGAAACCGTGTAAGCATGATACAATGGCAACATTTACAGTGGCCAAAATTGGGGTTGATTTTCTTGAACAGGAGAGTGTAAAATCTGGTGCAGCTGTGCATGGTAGTGAATCAGCTTCTACCTTCAGCTTGTTTAAGCTTTGGCAAGTTGATTGGTTTCTTTGCAGAATTGCACCAGATTTTGGCAAACAGGTCAAAGGCATATCATACTAAACAGTGGTGTCCAATCCACATTGCATACAAGTCCAAAAATGGGACCCTGGACTTCCAACAGACTAACGCATTTGAGGACTCCTTCTCTTTCTGAGAGCCCTGATGCTAATGTGTTTCGAGGAATCAACACGTGAGGCTAAACACGTCGAGGACTCAGCATCTTCCTCAGAGCCCTGAGGCTAATGCATTTTGGGGACTCCGCCTCTTCTTCAGAGCCCTGAGGTTAATGCGTATCGAGGACTCCGCCTCTTCCTGAGAGCCTGAGTTCTTGAAATGCGTTAGCCTGTTGGAAGTCCACAGTTCCATTTTTGGACTTATATGCAATGTGGATTGGACACCGCTGTTTAGTGTGATGTGCCTTTGACCTGTTTGTCAATTGTGAGTACAATACTTCATTTTTATTCTTCCAATAAATATTTTTTATGATAATGCACTAGGCCGGTGAGCCCTCTGTTTGTTTTTCTTTATATCCAGTGATATTGGACTACCCCGGTCTGTTGAGGGCAGCAAGGAGTGCATTTTCCAGGACATCTGAGATGTTACCATAACCCTAGCCGAGTCCATCCCTAAGCGCAGGAGTACAGAGTTTGCTGTGTTTTCGTTGCACCAGATTTTGCACTCTCTGGTTTTAGTGATTCAACCCCAATGCATCAAAAATATGATAGCTTGAAGGCCTAAAATTATACTTCTGTGTATGATGATACCCAGTACAGGTCATGCACTAGGCGTTCTGTACACACATTCATTTTCATTACTCATATGTGTATTTTCATGCTGGGATTCTTAATTTTTCTTATAATTTTTGTCATCTCTGCCTCCAGTTCTTGCAGATCAGGGAGAAAATGTTGTCACCATGTAGGATTTAATTGGTGATGGTTTTACATCACAAATCTCTATCACAGCTCTGAGCTTGTGCTCAACGTTTGACTGCCCCATTGTAAAAGTCACAACAGTGGTAATAAAAGTGTGAAAGCCCAACCCCACCCAAAATACATATATATATATTTTTTGCCCATTCCTCCCACCACTCTTTAACCCCATTCCCTTCCCAGAACAAAGTTTTCCTTACCTGGTAAACTCACTTATACCCATCTGAGTCCCCCCATTCTGATTCTTCTCTTTAGCTTTTTCCTCCTGCAGGGACTGCTAATCCTAACTGTACCCAAGTTGACCCCAGTGGTGTATTTAAGTTTTGTGCTGCCCTAGGCATCACAAAAAGTGCCCCCTCCCCACGGAGAGACCCTGACACCAACCAACACCTCCCTCCCAGAGCCCCAGCCCCCCACCCGAGAGAGCCTTCCACTACCACCGCCCCCCATACACTGGCAACCCCCCCTCCACCCA